TGGTGTGGGGGGGGGGGGGGGGGGGGGGGGGGGGGGGGGGGGGGGGACACGGACACGGGGACGACCCCCTCTACACTCTTTACCAGACAGAAAGTAAAATGTGTCGTGTTACAGGAGGGGGGTCGGGCTGGTAAAAGCAGCCGACACCGAGTTCCATAGGCATATGAAATGCTCAGGGTAGACAGACAGCAGACTGGGGTGGCTGGGGCTGGGGGCTGGGGTAGGTGGGCATGACTGCCCAGGGCTACCTGGTCCCCTCCTGGGGTGATGAAAAGGTTGTGGAACCAGGCAGCGGTGGTGGCTGCACAGCACTGAGAACGCACTGAATGCCACTGGGCTCTGCATTTTTTCTTGAGACTGGGTCTCACTCTGTGGTCCACGTTGGCCCCAAACTCAGAAGAAAGTCCCGCCTCAGCCTCCCAAGGGCTGGGACTACAGGCATGCGCCCCACTGCACCCAGCTTGGATCCCACGCTTGTAAAATGGTTCATTTTATTTTATGTGAATTTCACTTCAACAAAGAACTTTTTTTGTTGCTAAGACTGGAAGCCGGGCTCAGCAGCTCCACCTGACTGACTCGTAGGCAGCTGCAACATTTATTTTTTCCACAGAGGGTAACAAACTGGTCACACCTACCCATCAAAATGAGAAGCCCCCGCCCTCTACCCTGAAACTGAGGCCTAATATGGGGAGCTCACCTCACTCTTCCCATCCCCCACCCCACTCACATGGCCTGCCCAGGCCTGAGGCCACCCTGGGGTGGTGGTTACCTAAGGGGCACAGGGCACAGGTGTCTGCTGAGCAGGGCCCCAGGCAGAGGATCCTGAGCACAGAGAGGCTCCAGGCTCAGACCCAGCCCTGGGGGGCAGCAGGGAGGGGAGGGAGACATTCCACAGATAGACAGGGACACAGGGAGGTTGCGAGGGGGGTCACTGACAAGATCCCCACTCTGGTGGCAGGCAGGGGGTGTGGCCCTGTGGTGGCAGGCACAATGGACAGGCAGAGGACAAGGACGAGGGCAGGAGCCCTGGCATGGGATGCAGGAGTGTGGCTCTGTGATGACAGTTCCACTAGCCTGGGAGGCATTCTCACCCAGAGGCCCCAGATTCCAGGAGCCAGCCAACAGCATCCCGTGCTCCCACAAGGTCAGGGCACGGCCAAGGGCTGGCTTGGCGGGGGCTGAAGCCCACCCTGCAGCTGTGTGGTGAGGTAGGAGCAGTAATGAGAGGCTCCCATCTTCCACACACTTGTTATGAGCTAGCACCAGTGCCTAGAGCCACCAAAGAAGCAGAGCTGCAGGACTGTCCCCATCTGGCACATGAGGAAACCAGAGTGGCAGGAAAGCACAGCAGTGAGATCACAGGGGTGCAGGGTCTCTGCACTGGCCGCCCCCTCTGCCTTAGCTCTGAACCAGACCCCAGGCTCCACGTCCACAGGCCCTCAGAGAGCCTCTGGGCCTGGCCATCTATTTACAGGACTGACCCCAGACATTTCCTAAACGTCTCCACTGAAATGTGTGGAACTGCCCCCTCTGCACCCCACCCTCAGCCCGCCAAGCCCAGGCTCTTCCTCGGTTCCTCCTTCCTCATGCTGCAGAGGCACTGCCCAGCACCCTGCCCCAGGGCACAGGAGCTGCCTGCAGGAGGCCACACTCCACGGCTTCTGAGCTCCGCAATCCTGTGGGGCCCAGCACTCTGGCTACCGGGCCCTCCTTCATCTGCAAAGTTTGCTGCCCCTACATGTCATCTCATAGGGTTATTTTAAAAATTACAGAGAAAACAGTATCCAAAAAACTACGTTAATATTTCCAATCTAGAATAAATCTTATTAAATATTATTGGTCAGGTGCAGTAGTACATGCCTGTACTCCCAGCCACTCGGGAGGCTGAGGCAGGAGGATCATAAGTTCCAGGCCAGCGTCAGCCACTTAGCAAGACCCTGTCTCAAAATGAAAAGGACTGAGGGAGCGGGTGGTGGTAGAGCACTCCCGGGTGCAATCCCAGGGCCACAATAAATGGATAAATGAGTTCTAACAAAACAATTGTGGCAGTTGCAGAAACAGCCAAGGCCCTGGCTGAGCACTCAGGCCCTTTCTCCAGAAATCCTGACCATGGCTGTGAGGGGGCCCAAGGTCAGAGAGCTTACGCCATGATGCCCCACCCACCTAGTGGCCTCCAGTCTAAACCCTAGCAATAACAGGACACCTGTGGGTGGGAGAGACTAAGCGGTGGCCGCCTGCAGAGGCTGAGGCACTCTTCACTGCCCCCTTGTGGCATGACTGGAAAG